CAGACCCATTGTCAGTGAAGGAAGAATTGGTATGTGAACTGTTATAGGAGTTTGACCCCTACAAGTCAATGGGCCCTGACAATACCCACCCGAGGGTGTTAATAGAGTTGGCTGACATCACTGTGAGGCTTCTCTCCATAATCTTTGAGAAACTGTAGAGATTGGGCGATGTCCCAGAAGAATGGAAGAAGACTAATGTTACCCCCTGTCTACAAGAAGGGCCTGTAGGAGGATCCAGGAGATTATAGGCCAATCAGTTTTACATCAGTTCATGGAAGAGTTCAGGAATTAATCCTCCTGGGGGCTGCCACAAGTCAGATGAAGCATGTGATTGGGAAAAGCCAGCATGGACTCACCAAAGGCAAATCATACTTGACAAACCTGATCACCTTCTACAGCAAAGTAACCTGCTCAGTTGATGTGGGGAGAGTGGTGGATGTTGTCTACCTCAGTTTCTTTAAGGCTTTCAGTATGGTTCCCCACAGCTTCCTCCCAGAGGAGCTGGTGCATTATGGTCTAGACAAGTGGTGTGTGCAGTGGGTGGGGAGCTGGCTGCCAGGCTGCACCCAGGGGGTGGTGGGAAATAGCTCCTTTTAAAACTGGCACCCTGTCACAAGTGGGGGGGGCAGGCAGGGATCCATATTGGGCCCAGTGCTGATTAATATTTTTGTAAGTGATCTGGATGATGGGATCAAGTGTACTCCGATGAAGTTTGCTGATGATACCAAACTGAGTGGGGATGTAGATACTTGGGTAGGGAGAGCCATACTGCTGGAAGATGTGTATAGGTTGGAAGAGGGGGCTAACAAGAACTGTATGAAGTTCAACAAGGACAAAGATGGGGAGGGACTCTTTATTAGGGAGTGTAGAGATAGGACAAGGGGGTAACGGTTTTCAACTGAGAGGGGTTAGATTTAGGTTAGCTATAAGGAAGAAATTTTTTACTGTGAGGGTGGTGAGGCGCTGGCCCAGGGTGCCCAGAGCAGCTGTGGCTGCCCCCTCCCTGGAAGGGTTCAAGGCCAGGCTGGACGGGGCTTTGAGCAGCCTGGTCTAGTGGAAGGTGTCCCTGCCCATGGCAGGGGGGATGGGACTAGGTGAGCCTTAGGGTCTTTTCCAACTTAAACCATTTTATGAATTGTGGACTGCTTCAAATGTAGATATTCTGATTTTTGCCTCGTTTCTTCCCTTCCATTATCATATGGTGCTTTCCTGCCCATTTTCTTTCAGATATTGTTAGTCTTGTCAATACTGAGTTGGATTAGCTCATGGATGCAACAGAAAGCTAACAATACAAACACTCAGTGTTTTCATTTGGATCAATGAATTTCTACAACTTGTCATTTAGTTCCATGATCACAAGGCAGGAAAAGAGAGCAATCACACCTTTTAAGTAGTATCCTGCAATTGACTTATACTTCTAAGAGGGAGAAAATACTGTTTCTGTGTTACAACTGAGGACTCCTGAGAGTGGGGGGATCATGACCTACCTTATTTTGAACGGCAGTGAAATATTTATTATAGTTGTTGTTATTTAACTTGTTTAGAGGTGAAATTCTTTTCCTGTGACTTCAGAAAAACAAGGTAGGATTCTGTGGTTTGCAGTGAGCAGATTTAAAGTTTTAACTAGAAGAAGGTGGTTGCTGCATTTGGATTAGTGAAGATTTTTCTAAATAAAGTAAATTCTTTTGGAAACATCACTTCTGATATAATTATTTTCAGATGAGTTTTAGTGTACAATCTTTTGTGTTGGGGGTTTTGTGTTCCAATCTTCACATTAACTTTTTGGGTTCTGTAACTGCAGTCTTCCTACCTAGTAGCAAGAGTCCTGAAGTCCTTCATTTTGTTGCTTTTTTTGGTAACAGGCTACCATGAGTTCTTTGCTTAAGCATTTGCTTTTTCCCCAAAAAGCTTCATGTAATTTCCTGTTGTTGATAGGTTAGAAGTCTGTCTCACTGATTTCCTTGAAATTTACTTTTTGACTCTCTTGATCTTTGCTTTTTTGACAGCACCACAGGTTCTGTCAGAAGCGTACACCAACATTTTTATTGAAAGTGAATCTGATACTCTGTCCTCCCGTAATCTTCTGGTAATACCCAGATTAGAATAAACTGAATTTATCTCCAAACAGTATTTAGTAATACTCTGAGGTGACACTTATCTATCATTTTCATTTTCTGAAGTTTTTAAGTTGTAAAGTAATTATATAGTATTTTCCCTTTCTAAAAAGGCCTCCACTTGTGGGGTGTGGTTTTTTTGCTTAGTTTTGTTTATCTGATATGCCTCTAACATCCAATAAGAGAATTACATGAATAGTTATTTTGGTGCTTATAATCCTTTAAAAAAACCCAACACCCTGATACTCACTGCATTTGAACTGTTTGGAAAAAGCCCTCTCTGTGGAAAGGCTATCATGCATGGAAAGGTTCTGCTACATCACAAAAATAGACCTACCAGGCTGAAATGTTGTTATTTGGCTGAGCAGTACTATTAATCATCCTGATCTAGAGACTTAACAGCATAAACAGGGTCTAAGTAGTTGTGAGGTTGCTATATTAAGTATTTGGTGGTAGATAACAACAAATGACAATGCAGAAGCCTCCTGCTGCCTTCTCTCCTCAGTGTTTTTGGCATTTGTTTTTCCTGCATGCTGTACCTGGATGGCTGTCAGCATAGGAAGAAATATTCTTTCAGGGAATTCCTACCCGTTTTCCTGTCTCTGCAAAATCCAGCTTGCTAGGCATTCTGCAGCCTACTGTGGAAGAGTGGTTTGAGTGTCAGTCTTACTGGAGAGAATTACTGGAAGAGCCCTGGAGGATTATTAGCAAGGCTGCTAACAGAAATCACCAGAAACTAGAACATTTGCTAATGCTGAGTGCTGACCTCTTTCTTTGGTGTGTAGAGTTGCTAAAGGTTAGTAAGGTGAGTCCAAGGCTCTGTTAGGTTTTTGTGTGGCTAGGAGTAGGCAATAATCCATTTAGAAGCCTGGTTGACAGTAGGGATCTCTGGGAGACTCTGTGATCCTCCCTTAAAAACCTTTGTGTTTCTGCTTCTGTTGTGCTGAGGATGAGAGATTTACTTGGAGAATAAGCTGATATACTGTGGAGGATTAAAACCACAGAGTTTACAGGGTAGGTTGTTTTGTTTTTATTCGAACTCCAGGTAACAAGAAAAATTGAACTATAAATAGAAAGCTTAACAGTGGGAGTAATATAATATAGATCGTTTGTACAAGTGAGTGAATGACCTTCATAACTAACTTATGAGTCACTCTAGCGAGAATAAATTGGACTACAAAACAATAAATTGCAGTGATTTTACTTGCTGTCTGATATTCTAGTCTGACCAAAAATATCACCTTTTTTTTTTCTTTTTAAAATGGGCATAGTGCTTGTTGAGCATAAGTACATTTTGATGTTTCACTTCTGTTAAGTAATTGCACATAAATGAGATGGTAAATAACATCTTTTTATTATCATATTGATTGCTTTAGTACTGTCACTATTTCATTAACTTGGTGATGTATCCTAAATCAGCTTGGATTTTTGTGGGGGTAGAGAAGTGGAATAAATACTGTGTTTCTGACCTTCACTTTGTCAATTTGTAGTTCTGAACAGTCATGCAGTTATAAGTCTCTCTTTGCTTTTATACTTCTATTGCTGCTATTTCCAGTTTCTGCAGTTTTCAGTAAGAGCTTATTCTGAGCAGTGTTTCAGACTTATCTTTCCAAATTGAGTACCCACTTGTAGAACTTGGTAAAGTAGTTGGTAGTGTACAATACTTGTGCAGGGAGAGTTGTGATTGATGGAGAAAGTGGTTGAAGTTTCTAAACTTTTCTGATTTTAATGCAAGTAAAGTATTATGTTTATTGAGTGTCGGTTATAGTGTTATATGATTGCAATCATATATGTTGCTCTTCATTTTAAGAGCACTAGTAAGAAGCAATTCTTAGATAAGTAATAACTTTTTTTTTTTTGTTTTGAAAACTGTGATAAAGTAAATAAGGATTGCTTGTGCATATGCCTGGCTCCCACCCCAGTGTATTTTTGAAAGACTATTGTCTTCCTGATGGGGATGGAACGGTAGCTGTTCTGAATGACATAACAGTTGTACTTGAATTTGAAATAGCATTTTATCCATGACCCCCTTTCTCTATCTTTCCCTTCTTCCTCCTGCTTGGTAGGGACAGAATTTCTTTGGGACATTGTGTGTAAACTTCGCTGCATAAACGTGCACCAGAATACATGTGTGAACCACCTAATGTGGCAAGTGCTAAAATAAACACTTTGAACACTTTAAGATTATGAGTCATCAATCCCTGGCTGCTGTTTTTATATTTCAATAATTGATACAACCTATCTGGAAATTACTTTTCAGTCATCACTGTGATCCACAATAAATCTTGAATAGAAATAAGCTAAAAAGTTTAGGTACCAATATGCAGTATTTTAAGATTTGTTAAATTCAAATTCTAAGAGTATAATTTGTAGTGCTACTATTTATTCTACACCTTGGAAAATCTTAGTCTGACAACAGAGATATCTGTAGAACAGCTGAAGGATTTTGCCTTATAGTGACTTGGTCTGTAAAGATCATGATTATGCATCTGAAGAGTATTAAATCTGTCATTTTTTTATCATACCTCCAGTGTGTTGTGCTGTATGAGCATGTGGTGGAAATAATACTATTTCTGTAGCTCTTGCCACTTCTGTTATAGTGAAAAATACAAGTATTTACATTAGGTTTGCTGGTTTTTAATACTACACAGCTAAAATAAGGAGATCAACTAATTTTTATAATTACTTTTAGGTCCAAAAGTGAGACACTTTACTCGAAGGATTGTAGGAATTGCCATTTTGGTGGACTGTTCAAAAGCATCATATATTTCAAAGGAAATATCTTATCTGTAACAGAAAGTTTTTTTGTAGTGAAGAATCCCTAATGATTAAATACAGAATTACTCAGTAATATTGACCTCTTAAATGTTGTGTTCTGCTTTGTAGAAGACCCTTTTGAGGACTTCTTTGGTGGCAGACGGGGTCCAAGGGGAAGCAGAAGCAGAGGTGGTGGATCATTTTTCTCTGCCTTTGGTGGATTCCCTGCTTTTGGAAGTGGTTTGTCTTCATTTGACACAGGTAAATATCACAGCATTTAACAAAGAATGCAGTTTTGGTTCACAAAGGATCTCAATATAAGAAGCTGATAAATGTTTTTTAAAAGTTGCCTTCATTCAGGAAATTGAGACTGCTTTTTTAAAATTAAGCTGTTCTCTGTAAAGTCTGAATGTAAATAAAGCTATAGTTACAATATTGGGTCTACCTGAAAGTTCATGAAAAGTAAACAGACCTCTGAGAGGTAGAACTTTTTCTGTTCTTAATTTTGGCCCTACAGTTTCTTTATAGCTTTAGAACGGTCTTTGTTTTGTTTGCTTTTAGGTGTTGGGTGTCTTATGGCTTTTATTTAAGGTCCTGAAAATGCACTGGAAAAATGTGTGCCTAAAACCCGTGGTACTACTTAGTATCACTTCTGGGATAGTCAGTTTGAATGCTGACATCTGTATCTCAGAGGTTGTTTAGAGTTGCTGGTAGTCCGAATCATTTAAAGTGTTAAGATTCAGGGTATTGGTTGGGATGTTAAAGAACTTTTGTCTGCTAACTTGGGACATCCCGACATCTACATTAAAGCAAAAGTTTAAGCAAAAGTCATTAAAGTTACTAGCTTTACCTTGAGTGGAAAGAATCGATCTAATGATTGAGTTCAGCAGACAGGCTTGAATGCCTTTTCTTCAGTGAAGGAGGTGACACATGGTTGTTGGACAATACTGTGCATTTGAATTTGAACTATGGCTCCATATGGGACAATTTGATGTGGCTGGAGCCATATTTTTATTCTTACACTGGTGTTTGATGGCATCTAATCACTGATGCTGTGTTGATGCAACCAACTACGGGCATCCTGAAGCTAGGATGTAGTCAGAGTGGATGATAAATTTGGATCCCATGATCATGCAGAAATGCATTTTCAGTCACATACTTTATTTTCCAATAGGTTTTACTTCATTTGGTTCATTGGGACATGGAGGCCTTACTTCATTCTCCTCTACATCGTTTGGTGGCAGCGGGATGGGTAACTTCAAATCAGTATCAACCTCAACTAAAATAGTTAATGGCAGAAAAATTACTACAAAGAGGTAAGTGATACAACTATATTTGTATGAAACTATATGTAGAGACATGTATAGCCATAAATAAATGCATATAAATATACTATATATGCACACACAAATACAGTGATACATGTACGTATATGTATTTTTACTTCTACTGATGTGGTCATCATGTTACTTGGTTTTCTCTGAATGCTTAAAAAAAAATTGAATAGTTTTTTGGGTTCTGTGACTGCTCTTGGCTTTGCTGAGTTACTTAAAGCTGTAGCCTATGAAAATGGTGAAGATGGTGCTTTTGTCTAAACTCTTGATAGTTGAGGAGGGTTTAGATGTGTAAGACATGTTTTTGATCGGGGCAATTCTGAAAACAAAGGTTGCAACATGTTTGCTGCTTGAAAGGGACCCAGCAATAGAGCTCTTCCAGGCTTTCAGAACCTCCTGTGTAGTGATGCATCTTTTGTTATGGTCCTTGACCGCTGTCTGCCAAGTCAGCTTGAGCTTCTGTAAGGGAGGAGGGTGCTGTGTTTCTTTGGTGGTGTAGCTTTTAACTGGGGATTGGGAGGACTTCGAATTTTGCAGACATTATGAAATGTGAAGCAGTTTTCACTAACATCTGCTCTAGTTTGCTTTCCTAGGCAGTGTTTGAGTGAAGTTTTTATGTAAAAAGTAATTTTAGCTGTTACGTGACATAAGCAGCTGAAACCTGTTTTGGAAAACATTTTTCCTGTTTGTTGGAAAGTGAATTTTCAAGTACTGTATACCTTCTCACTATTTCATGCTTATGATGGGGAAATCACTGCATTTGGGAAACCCAAATATTAATTACCTATAGAGTAACCTCCATGGAACATTATGCTCAGTAAGTTATAGTAGTACTGAACAAATAGTTAGATGTAATTTCAGTACTTAAAAATTTACAGAAGACCAAGGGAAAACCAGGATTTTTTGTTTGTTTGTTTGGTAACTTGTGTCCCATGCTTCAGAGTGCATGGTTCTTTGTCCTTTTGTACTGGAGAAATCCTGTTGTCTTGACCACTTAAATGTAGCCTTTGTCATCACGTTGGTGTGGTCATGGAATTTTTCTGTGAGTATATTCCAGAAAAATCTGAAAATCACCCACTTTAGAGGGAAATGTACCAGATGAGAGAGACCAAAGAAAGTGCTTATGCAGAAGAAAAGGCACCATGTTTGTTTTAATATTTAAAAATAGGCTAAATTAGATACGCTGCTGTCATATCTTTTGTTATCATATTTAGAAAGGGAAAGCCGAGAAGCAAGAAATGTGTCTAGCCACATCTAGGAAGACATACTATCTCCAAGAAATCCTGTTACTTCATAGTATGTCTGTCCTTTAGCCTCAGCTACCTTGTGAAGACTCATATCCCAGCACACCCAACGAAAATCTTCTCTGAGTAATATTTTGCTTCAGGCAGGAAGCTGTTCCCTCTGGTGTATTCTCTTCAATAAGTCTGATCTGCAGAAAAATTTGTATTCATCCATGTGTTTTCTTCATTTGAATCAGGAGGGGAAAGTTCCCAGATAGTAAAAACTTAGGCATAAAGTAAATGTTCTAAAAATAATTAAAACATTCCTTATCTTTTAATTTCAAAAGCAAACAAACAAACAAAAAGCCCAAACCTGCAGAGCTCTTTAATAATCTCTCCTTCCAGTCAGGGATACCTAAATTTTGCTGGTCATAAACTTGGTGTGCAGTAGGTCTCCATTAATTGCTCTCATCAAATTAAAAGTGAATTAAAGACTGTCTTGCATGCCTTACATTATGCAAAATTGTGATTGGATCTAGAATATTACTCATTTAACAAATGAGTAGGCACTAAATGCAGCATCAAGATTGTACAGTTGAGCTGTCAAAAGACATTTAGTTCTAGATAATAGTGTGTTAGTGTCAGTACAACTGTGACAGTGTATGAGGTGACAGCTGTAACTGTGAACTCCACAAACTGGAGGATTCAAACTTCCAGAAAGCAATTCTCCTGCTAAAAATAAGCAATGTCAGTGGGGGAATGCAGATGGTTACTAGTTACAGCTTCTGCACTGCTAAATGCTTGCCAGCTACAGTTGCATTAAGCGGGAAGTGCTCTGTTATAGTTCATTATCTAAAACCCTAGGTCTGGTATGTATTTTCACGCTGTTCACAGTGCTTTAAAATGGCTAACTCTGTTATTGTCCTACAGAATTGTTGAGAATGGACAAGAGAGAGTAGAAGTTGAAGAAGATGGCCAGTTAAGGTCGCTAACAATAAATGGTAAGGAGCAGCTGCTACGCTTGGATAACAAGTAATTCAACGCACGCATTTAACAGAAATTTTAAGCTATAACAGCCACCATTTGAGGATTGACAGGAACATTTTTTGAAGATTTCAAACGAACTCAACTTTCTGTATATCCGTACTTAAGTAGTATAAATAGCTCACTGAAGCTCGTATTTGTCATAGACTTTTGAGTTAATTGTTGGGACCACATCAATTGGACCATTTTTTGTCCTTAAAATTGTTGTAAATTTCTGTATGCACTTTTCTTTTTATTATATATGATCGAGGTGAACCATGATCCTTCGGTAGTGCTAGGGCAAGATGTACACTAAGACTAGCATGAATCTTGCTTTTTCCAATTTGAAATGTGAGCCAACTAGTAGTTTAAGTCTGCTGTGAAGTTAACATTTCCAGGATAACCTTTTTAATAATTTCAACTTTTTTTTTTTTTAAATGTTTAGTAGTGAACAATGTTAATACATTTCTGGTAATGCATTTCTGGTTTAAATAAATTAAGGATGTTTTCTAGTTGTGCATGAATGCAGACAACTTAGTAAGTTTTGACAAATGTTTAAATGTGTAATGTAAGCAAAAGGTAAACAAAAGTGAAGCCAGTGAGCTGAGTCTTTTGTCATTTGCTAAAAAAAAAAAAAAAAAATTCAAAATGAATAAATGCTGATGTTTGTGGTGCATTCTTTCATGAATGGCATTTGTAACCTCCTTGTGTCTGTGTGTGATTTGGGCAACTTGGGAAAACAGTGCTTTTTTTTTTCCTACCACCTCTTTCTTCATTCTTAAGGATGAGGGCCTTTTTTCTTTGCAGATGTTTTCTTCAGTGTGACTGAAAACATGATATTTAATTGCTTTTCTGAAACTGTATTTGAAGCACCTATTTTTTTAAGAAGCATTCAGAGGCTGACTATAACTCCATCTTTTGCCCTAGTACATAAATTTTTTTGGTCTATGCCTAAAATCACACTCTCTATAAAAATAGAAGTTTTCTAAAGTTTTAAGTTCTGAAATTGCTTCAAAAAATAATCTCTAGTGAACATAAATATACAGGAAAACATTTAATACTTAAAGGCAGTAAGGTTTTTTGCTTCTTTTGAAAAAAAAAAAAATTGATTTGAAGGTGATTTGTACAAAATTATTAGCATTAAAATGTCTATCTCTTAGTTATCAACCAAAAATTGAAAGATGGATTTATGATTTTTGAAAATTAATGGAGTGAAGCAAAGTGTTAATTTGTAGCTAAGACCAGATTTTTAAAGTTTAGTGAAAGATGACTTGATTTTTGTATGTCATAGAGAAAGCATGCAAATAACAATTGGCATATGTTAACACCTGTCAGGCTCTGGGTAATTTCATGCATAAATCGTGGATGTGCAGTTTTTCTGTGCACCAGCTTTGAACATCTGACCTTCACAAAATTATTTAGGGTGGCTTAGTGTTTTTAACAAAAAAAAAAAAGCATGGTGTTTTCAAATGATCACTTAATGCCTTCTTGCTGAACACCATCTGCTTTGTACTAACAAATGTGTTGATTATTAAATACATTGAAAAGATTTGCTCTTGTTTATCATGCAGGAGAACCAATTCAGCTTAACCCAAACCAACAATCTAACAAACTACTACAACAGAATTAATATTTGCAGCAAAGTTAGCGTATCTTACATTTGTTCCTCTACCATTAATGCTAATTTCGTAGAACCAAACAAAATAACAGGTAGAAGAAGAAACAAATACATACTTTGTATTTGGGACTACAGAAGTTATGTACCTTTTCAAGTTCTTTGCAGAGTTCTTGTTACTTCAGTGTTGTGTTTTTGGTGTAGAAGCACAAACTCAGTTTAGAACTAAACAGTGTTTTCTTGTTAATGCTGTTTTTTCCTTCCCCATGTATGTTCTTTCTTGATCCAGATAACTAAACAGACAATTTATTTCAAAATCTGGCTTTGTTGTGATGTCTTGAATTATTAAAAAAATGTTAATTTATATTTATAGGACACAGTGTGTTCTTTTAAGTTATGTAAACTGTAAAAAGTGCTTCAAAATTGGTTAACCAAGTCAAATAAAATTAGGACAATCTGGAGTTGAGTTTGAATTCCTTCCTGTGGATACCCATAGGTTTTACATTGACCTGCCAAACTTCACCTTCTATTTTAATCTCAGGTAATCTTCTTTAACATTTAAATTACCTAGCTCAAGTTAAGAACACAGTTACGGTAGCAGAGCTGCTAGTGGCAAATCTGTACCCACATGCTTGCCTCAGATCATCTTACCCAGAACAGTGTGGTGGTTCTTACAGCGTTATATATACTTCACTCCAGGGTTGTATAATTAAATGTTTTAACACTGTAACTTTGCTGAAGATCCAGTGTTTTGGATCGTCTCCCTTCTGCCTTCAGATCCCTGAAGCTGGATATTGTCAGATTGGGACAAAATGCAGCATTAAATGGCAGTGCTGTACTTTCTTGGTAGAAAGATAAACTGGCAGAACACAAAAAACAAAGAAGAAATGAGTCAGCAGAAGTCAGAATTCATTAGTAAAGTTTTCTACAGTTGTAAGCAGATACCCAGACACCAGCGTTTGAATAGGCTGACGGTTGAACTGGATGGATACGTGGTCATAGTCCAAGTACACAATTGGACTGGCTGGTCCAGTTCCAGATGCAGAAAATTGTTATCTCCTTACACTTGGTCTAAGTCTGATAGTCTTTACCTGTTTCAGTACATAGAACACAGGGGGTTTTTTGAAATAACACGGCATCTAACTTCTTTTTTAATGCAACTTCTTACATCCAACTTAATTTTTAATACCTAACTCATTCTGTTTACAGTGGATCCAATTTAAATTCTTCCTATTAGTTATTACATATTCAGAATTTCTTTTTATTTGTGCTGCTGAAATGAGTTTCTTTTCTCTTGAAAACCTGCTTATTAGGTTGCTCTGAAAAATTTTATGTCATTCCTTACTAATATGTAATTTGTATAGATGTACAAAACCTACTCACCAGAAGTAATGGATCATCAAGGGCAGGAAATTTCCCTAAACTTCAGTTTTGGCCAAAATAGAACAAATTACCTAAGAACAGAAAAGGATAGTAATTCTAGCTAATGCTAGGCATGATATGTGCAGTGGAATGAGATGGCTTTCAAAAACAGGTGCTGTTTGATTAAAAGTACTATTTCTTCCTACAGAAGGGATTAAATTTCTTCCTACAGTAGGGATTAATTTTGAGTGTTTAGGGACACCATCCCATTTAAATTAAGATTCCTCCTGTGGTTTGGAAAAACTAAGATGGAGTTCTTGAACCTGCAAAGTCACTTACTCTTTCATGCACTGCTTCAAAGTTCATTGGTAGAATACAATAACTTTGTAATGCTTTTTCTTGGTGCAGCTTCTTTTTGGTCTCTCGTGCATGGCAGTAATTTCAATGCAGTACACCGTAACACAAGTTTCTCTTTAGATTGCATGGCACCTACCCTTTTCACTTGGCTTTACTGAAGAAGTTGGGGATTTTGCCTTGGAATGCTTCATATTTGAAAATTGCTGCTGCTGTTCTCAGTTCTTACAATACCTTCTCCTTTGAGCATCACAGGCATTGTTTTGTGGTATAAGTGACAAGGCTGCTCAGCAGAGTAAGTGTACATAGCATTTGTAAGATGTATACTGTATCAACTTGTGATTAATTGGTGGACTGAGTCTTAGAATGCTGAAAACAAGATTGTATAAGTCTTAAAAAAAAAAAAAAAAAACAAAAAAACAAACAAACAAAAAAAAAAAAAAACAAAAAAACAAAAAAACAAAACATCATCTCTAAACCCAAGGGTTTTATATCTCCCTGTCAGAGTTTGTGTTCAGCTGTCCTGTTTGCTTGCCTCCTTCAGAGGATTGGCGTTGGGTGTAAGTGGAGGTTTGTCTTTTGTATTTAGTTGTACTTCTGTGTGTCAGACCCACTCTGGAATGGTCCAGTGATAAAGAAAGTGAGATTTTATTTTTTGTTTTTTGAAACATGAGTTGTGTTCCTGAATCTACTTCTGTTCTGTTTGAGAAGCGAGCTTGTTTCCTACTTTGTCTTGGTTTAATTGTAACAGGATAGTGGTTACTTCTAAAGATAGTTGCATCGCAGAATGGATGCTACAGCTGTATGATGCTTATGGGCAGAGAACTTTTCAAAAATGTTATTGCAGTGCTTTAACTCAGAATATTGTTAACCTTTTTGTGGAAGCATTTCTTAGTACTTTTCGAAAAATGTGTCTCTTTGGTCATGATTTTTGGATAACTTAGTATTTAGGCTTATTTTTAAGTCGTGGTGTTCTCACAAGGTACTTGCAATACAGACATCAGTAATCTGGCAATTAGCAGTAACCTGAACTTTGAAACTTTACTTTTTGAACATACGAAAAGGAAGCTTGTTTGCACAGTCTGCTCCCTGTGGTCTGGTTTACTTTGGGACTGAATTGTGACCACAGACTTGTTTTATGTAGTACTCAATGTAGACAGTTTGGGTTTTGTTGTTATTGCTGGTCTTCAAGTGGTAAGTAAAAAGCTTTTTATCTTCCACCTGAAATGCTGAAATGGTCCTTACATTGCAGTAGTGTTGGAGTGAAGCATATTAACTTTGTTAGTGTTACAAGCTATACCTTCTGAATTTATAATTTTAGTGGGTTTACTGCTTGATCTGCTTTGGTTTTGGAAAACATAACTCCACTAGAGTTGGTTTTGACTGAAGTGCACTAATGAAAAGTTAGAGCAGAAGATGGTTGGTTTATACTCTGCTACATAGGTTATGCATAAAACAGTAAGCCTCATTTTTGGAGGTGCTGCTGTTAAATTTAAAAAAAAAAAAAAAAAAAAAAAAATGCTTTCACCATCTGAGCCGTAACCCTGAACCTGTGCAAGCTGACTGCTGATTCACTCATTGAAACTTCTCTGAAAACTATGTTCTGGCAGACTTAGCGCTGGGTTAGGTGTTATCTTACTTACAACA